CTTGTTGTGCGGTGCCGTGCTGTCTTGAGCAGGCTCGCCCATCAGGATTCCATCTTCGTTGCCAGTGAAATATACTGGGTTTGACATGCGTTAGTGATCAGCTCATGCTTTATTGTGAAAACAGCTCAAACTAAAGACAAACTAGCAGGACCAGAGCCCTGCTTAAATTTGCACCCACCCCACACCCCACACACACCCACTACCTGTGATAGGTTATTTACACAGGCACTCCTGGTCGATAGGTTTGTCCCAGGATCCTAGCAGTCTATTGTCCTGTGACTCCAATCTGGGTCTGATGAGGTTAGGCTAGTACACAACAGGAGGTAATTTGCCTGCTCAGACACCTGAGAGCTTCTCACGTCCTGGAGTGATCTGGGCAAGGGTAGCGTGGCCATGTCCCCCCTGGCCGCTGGTGGGGGATGGGGGTGTAGGGCTGACACATTCAGGCTGGGAAACTCCTGGAGATTTGGGGGTGGAGCCTGGGGAGGAGAGGGACCTCAGTGGGGTACGATGTCACAGAGTCCACCCTCCATAACATCCATTTTCTCCAGGGGGGACTGATCTCTGTAGTCTGGAGGTGACCTGTAATTCTGGGAGATCTTTTTTTGCCAACATTTCAAAGTTAGTGGACTGTTGTTCCCGGTGAGAAATTTACAAATAGCTGCTCTATGAGAATTTACATTTTGGGGTAAGTTGTACTTCCATTTTTTAATAGCAGGATTTTGACTCTTGCGGCAGTGTTTTTCTAATGAATTGTATCCTTTGTAGTTCTAGATGATTAGAAATAGACTTTCTGGAGGACATCCTTGAAGCTTACAACTTTTGAAGAAGACAACATGAAATGGGCTTTACCAGATGCTCATCAGTCGAATTTTGCTTTGACGATATTTCAATATTGTTGGTCTGGTTCACATGTCTCTATCCTAAATTGCTTTGCTTTCCATGTTTTTGTTAACAAGCACATCTTCCACATTGCTGTGTATATTTGTAGTTGAGTGACTGTTTGGCACAATTAGAATTTGTTATAAGTTCATGGTATGCATGATTCATATTGTTTGATTATATATGACTGTTTGTGATTAGATATAAGGAATTTGCTGTTTTCTGACAAGTGAATCCAATATAAAGTTTTTGATAATTTCTGTTTATTGTAGTGCATTCACAGTGTTTTTTCTGTAATCAATCCACCTGGAGGCTGGCATCCCTAGCAAGGGGGAAATTTCCCAATTTATTTAATGAATTTAAAATATTTAAATATTGTTTTTATCCTGCTTTACAGGACTCCCCTGCTTATTCTTTGTGGGTCTTCAACTTGATATTTCTTCTTATCAATATACTTTTATTTAGCTTCACTCCCATATGATCTGTGGGTTATGGGCAACTGCTTGGCCAGTCTGTGAGACAAGGTGAACCACTGGTCTTCTCCAGCAGGTCACCTCTTGAGAACATTTTCTTGCCAGGCAATCTGATCCAAGAGGCAATGGAAGTAAAAGTTTTTGGATTTACGAGTGTTTCCACATTCACTACGTATCAACTATCTGTAGACTCAGTTTTGCCCCACAGATACTTGAAAAGGCAAAGCCTGACAAACTAATGTGTGATTTATCATGCACTCAGTATCCAGGTTATCAACCCTAATTGAGCTTACATGTATACTGTCCTAACTGGTTTATGGATCAGAAAGAGGATTGTAGCTAGGTTGTGCTAAAAGTTTCTGGTCTGTGTATTAAAGAGCATTATCTACTTGACAAGAGTTGTTCGCCCTACTTTTCTTGTTTCCCTCACTCTGTAAAATGTGGTTTCAGGTTATTTTACGCATCAGCAGGGAGGGGCTTTGGCTCAATGGTAGAGCATCTCCTTGGCATGCAGAAGGTCCCAGGTTCAATCCCCAGCATCTCCAGTTAAAAGATCTGGCTACAAGTGCTGTGAAAGACCTCTGCGTGAGTCCTTAGAGAGCTGCTGCCAGTCTGAGTAGACAATACTGACTTTGATGGACCAAGGGTCTGATTCAGTATATGTCAGTTTCATGTGTTCCTGTTACTCAAAAATGTCATTCTTCACAGTGACGGAGGTATAGAGCATTTAGAATACTTGACAGCTGTTGACATGGAAGGAGAAATGTTTTCATAACCATGACAACATCTTCACGGCACATCAGTAATTTGGCAACATTCTTTTTTCTAATGAAAGGCCAATTTTGGCTTTATTTAATCCATTCAATGAAACCTGTAAAATCTGTGAGAATATGTTTGCTGTCAACAAAACAAAGCTGTTATTTTTTTTTAAAATCCCAGTAAATTGATTTTGACTGTGTTAGAGAGAGAAGAAAAGAGATTGGATTTATACCCCGCCCTTCATTTGGTGTTTTAGAGTGATGAGTCACTTTCAACCTGAGCTACCTCACTGGGTTGTTGTAAGGATAAAAGAAGGGGGGGGAGACGTTGCGAGTCACTTTGAGTCCCTGGTATAAAAATAAACATGTACACTTGTACACGAAAGCTCATACCTTGAATAAAACTTTCGTAAAGGTGCCATTAGACTCTAAATTTGTTCTACAAGCCCTTCTACAACACTCTGTTTGTGGCCTTCCACTGGTAGTGAATCTGACCATAGAGTACTTGTAATTAACTCAATAATAATTAATTATAATCATCAGTTATCCTAATGAACTCAGTTCGTGCAGGAGGGTGGAGGTGGGGCTTGTCATTCGTTTACTAACCAGGATTCCCGTTTCCACTACATCCAAAAGTTGACGCGCCTCTTCTGGAAGCTCTCCACTTCCGGGGGGAGAAGAAAAGTGGTAGGCCACCACCCCCGAAAGCCTAACCGGCCAATCGGAAGGGGAGGGCTCGCATGACGTAACAGAAGAGCCACAACACTCTCTCTTCCCGCACGGGGCGCGAAGTTCTCCGGGCGTTCTAGACTGGAATGTTGGGGACCGAGGGGCTCTGAAGTCCCCGCCCGCGGAGCGGAAGCCCCGTCCCCTGGATCTCCGCCCTCCCTCCCTCCCTCCCTCCGCCCGGGTGATGGACGCGGAGCCGCAGCCGGACAGCCTGGACGGGTGGGTGGCGGTCAAGGAGGACGCCTTCGGCCAGCCCGAGGGGGCGCCCCACAAGCTGCGCTTCCTCGTCGCGTGGAACGCCGTGGAGGGCAAGTTCGCCGTCCCCTGCCACAACCGCACCCTGCAAGAGCAAGAGGCCGCCGGGCCGGGAGCCGACGACGGGCCGCGGAAGAGCTGGGCCGGCCTGTACTCCTCGCAGGCCCTGCTGGGCGTCCACCGGCAGCTGGTGGCCCTGAACGGGCGGCTGGAGCCGTCCTTCCCGCCGCTGCCCCCGGCGCTGAGCGGCCCGGGCGGCGGCCTCTGGGCCCTGCTCTTCCCCCACTGCCCGGTGCTGGAGGAGGCCGAGCTCGAGGGGCTCTGCCGGCGGCTGGAGGCCTACTTGGGCTGGGCGCTGGACCTGTGCGGCCGCAAGGCGCTGCTCGACTCGCTTTTCGCCCAGGATCAGGACGAGGAGGACGAGTACTTCGAGAACCTGCAGGAGTTCCGGAGGAAAGCGCTCAAGGCCCAGCTGACAGCCGCCAAGGAGGCCTTGCGGAGGGTACAGAGCAGCGGCCGGGCGTTGGGGAGGGGGAGGGGGAAGGGGCGGTGTGGGGGTGGCATTGGCCACAAAGCACACTCGGTTGTTGCAACTTTGGTTTTAGTGCGTGCTTATCCCGCCCTTCCTCCCCGGGAGCAATGCGCATGAGCCTCCCTTCTTCCATGTTTCTTACCCTCACAACAGTCCTGAGAGATGGCGTTTGCTAAGAGAATGACAGACCCCAGAGCACCCAGTATAACTTGGTAGCAAGATGGGTCTACCTGGTTCTAAGCCAGAAGGCTCCACCTCGCACCCCGCTGCTGGGAAATGCCCAACTGTGGCCAAATGCTCTTCCGGGCTGTGCAGTCTCTTTTTCTGGCCTCTGCTTCTTGACATTTTGGCTAGTAGCATAATAAGCAGATAGTAATCAGGGGCAGCTTTCCATGCCTGCAGTTGGGAGTGGTATGCATCTGTTGAATTTCTGCCTGCAAAGTAACTGTGGGAGAAACTGGGGGCTTCCCAACAGTTTCCAGCCTGGTTTATGATAAAAGTGGGGAGGAGTTGCATGTTAGCTCTGTGGATGTGGAGTTTTTCCTTCCCTCCCAAGCCTCTCTTCGTGCTGCACAGGAGCAGAGTCCAGCCAAAAGTGCTGTGCCAAGAGCAGGCCTGTGTTGGAGAAAGCAGAGAATCCTTCCAGTTGACCAACCAAGGCCTCATTCTACCATGTCTGAGGGTGCTGTAGGAAGCTGCAAAAGTGCCCATGACAGAGCCAGAGGTCCAACTTTTATTTATTTGGTGCATTTGTATCTTACCTGCTCTCCAAGCAGTTTAGGGAAAAGTACATGGCTTGCTCCATCTCCATTTTTATCTTCACAACAACCCTGTGAGGTAGGTTAGGCCAAGAGGGTGACCAGCTGGAGATCACCTAGTAAGTTTTGTGGCAGGTGGAGATTTGAATATGGGTCACCCTGGTTCTAGTCCAGCACTCTGGACAGACAATGCCAAGGCTGTTAGTATCCTTTTTCCTGAGGGTGTGAAAGGTTGAAATTATGTCTCCCATCTTTTTTAGTAACTTTTTTTATGAAACCAAATATGACTGGCAAAAAAATTGGTTAAAACTTTTCCTTTGCCAACTTGTCTTTACTCCATAAGACATTAAACTGTTGAATGTCACATGGGCTGGAAAATGCGCGCGGGGGGGAGTGTGGCTGTTTGTCCCGGAGCAAAGTAATGTGCGGCAGCCAGATCACATGTCCCGTCGAGGTCCCGTGGTTAGGCCGTTAGATGCCGATCACACAGCTATCCTGCAGCGCGGCAAAGACGCGGCGCGGCACAATCACACCAGCAATCGCTAGGCACCGCTTCTGTGGCAAACAGGATTTTTTTTCACACCGAAGTCTGCACATGCGCATGATCATTTGTGCGCATCCTGTGGAGACTTACCAAAAATATATGGTGTGCGACGGGACATGGATGGGCGCCGGATGCCACGGGATTTAAGTGGAAACGCGATCAGATGCCTACCCTTGCCCTGCGTTTTCCGGAAACTAGTACATGGTATGTAGTAGTTTTTTACTCCGCATCTTCGGCGAGAAGCCACGGGTTAGCCACGGGTGTACCACGCTTCCCAGATGTTGCAGTGTGATCGCGCACCGAAAATCCGCCTATCATCCGTGTCCTTAGTGTGGCAACATCTCTGTGTGAACGGAACCTTAGTAATTTACTGTAATGTTTTTGGCCTTGTTGAGAAGACGTTTGACCATGGAAAGCACAATACATGTTCTTTAAGTAAACAAATAAATGCTATCAAAATGTAAATGTGCAAATGACCCACAGGCATAGCTGAGGCTGGGCTATAAGAATGTAAGAAGAGCTCTGCTGGATCATACCTGTGGACCATCTAGGCCATTTTCATGAAGTGGCCAATCCCTTGCCCTGGAGAGCCAACAAAAGCCATGGCCTTCCCTGATGTTGCTTCCCAGGACTGGTCTTCAGAAGTTGACTGCCTTTGAATATGGAGGTTTGCTTTAACCCCCATAGCTGTGTGTGTTAAAGTGGCGTCAAGTCATAGCCAACTTACAGTGACCCTGTAGCATTTTCAAGGTGTGACAAACTGACCTCCAAAAGCAGGGTGCTTAGTGCATCAAATTCAGAGAGGTGGGAGATTAAAGGGTCAGTGCCTCACTGTGAAGCACAGGTTGACTGACAAGCTGCTGCAGGTGCACCCCCCCCTTCTCTCTGACTGGCCAGTGCCAGCTGAGGAGAGTCTGAAGAACAGCTGAGCGCTGAGGAAAAGGGGCTTTTTCCTCTTGCTTCATCTCTGCCCTGTCAGAAGCCAGACAGGAGGAGTTAGTGTGTCTGTCAGAGGGAAACAGACAAGTTCACTTGTGAAGTGAAGGGACACAACTCCTTGCCCTTACTGTGTACCATCCAATCTGAGGAACAGCTCCAAATAAGAACTTTGGTCTAAGCATCAGCCAAGCTGAAAACCGTTTATTTCACTGGGTCAAGCACTGAGGTTCAGTTTTGGCAGGAAGGATTGGTCAGCAGGTTGAAGCTGTTTGTCTAGCATCTAGCTAAACAGAAAAAGGAATATTGCTTCTAGGAAAAGGGGAATATTTTAATGAATAAATAAATATTTCCTTCTCAGTTATTCAGTCGGTCTGACTTAGAAGGGACCCCAGTTGGTGTGAAAGAGGAAGCAATCTTAGACTCCTCGGGAGTCCATGGGAAAGCTGTAAACCCAGAGGGAGGGAGAATAGGTTACAGGAAGAAAGTACTAATCTCCAGGATAGTTATCTGAATCTTTATTAAGAGACATTGTCACTGTTAAGAAATCTCGAAGACAAACAAACCTGTCACTGTTAAGAACTGATGCTGTAAGGAACTAAGCTTCAAAAATGCTTTGTTGCCTGTTCAAAATATCATTTGTAAATACAACAAAGTTCTCCTCAGTTTTCTCATCCCCTGCCTATTCCTAACCCAATGGTGCCTGTTTAATAAAACCATCATTCCCATTTGAATTTAACTTTGTGTCAAGTGACATTTACAAAAGAAATAGCAAGTGGGCTCCTGCTTAACAACAATAAATCTCTAGCCTGGGCAAAAGCCAAATATATTCTCTACCACAGGGTGGGATACTCAGAAAGTCATAAACTGTTTATTACCACACGCTACCAAGGGGCTGTTTAGACAGTGCAGGAACAGCTATTTAGCATTTTGGCGGAAAAGTCTGCCTCACAGAAAAAGAAGCAGCAGTGTCCCGTCATACAAGGCAAGAGACGTTCAGAGGTGGTTTGCCATTGCCTGCCACTGCGTAGCAACCCTGGACTTCCTTGGTGGTCTCCTATCCAAATACGAACTATGGCCAGCCCTGCTTAGCTTCTGAGATCTGACAGGATTGGGCTAGCTTGGACCTTCCCCTCCATAAACGTATCTTGTCTCCTTTTTGAAGCATTTATCTCTACACTGTTCTAAAACACATCAGTCCATTAATGTAGTAAATGAACACTGAAGCCCTGCACCACACACAAACTGCACCTCCTGATACACAAACATGGAGTTAAAATCTCTCTTCAAGCCCTGCAGAGGTGAGGCAGATAGTAACTGGAGGTAGTAAGGCCTTTTCACTGGCAGCAACTAATGCTCAAATGGCCTCCTGCTTTGGGTCATCAGCAGTGTTCCCTCTAAGCTGAGTTGGTGTGAGTTAGCTCACAGTTTTTTAGCCTTCAGGCCACACATTTTTGTCTCGGCTCAGGAAGGATGGCTCCAGAGCAAACTAATTTATGCAGCAGTCAAATTGCTCACTCACAACTTTTATGCCAGTAGCTCACAAAGTAGAATGTTTGCTCACAAGGCTAAGAGGGAACACCAGGCACCTGCTCTGTGCCTTTTAGGTGCCTTTGGGCCCCAGTGTTTATCTTTGCCCAGGCAAAATGGATTGTTTTTAATTGGTAGTTTAAGAGGGCAGCCATGTTGATGTATCCAGTAGCACCTTCGAGACCAACAAGAATTTCAGTCCTCAAACAAAGAACTGTCAAAGGGGAAATGAGATTGCTGAATCTGAGTTAATTCACAAGTTCAGAACAGTGGACTCCTCAGGGCTGAGCAGGATTCTTATCTTACTACAGATGCTAATTTTCTTCCCCTAAGCATTTCCCCTCTGCTCTAATCAAGCTGATTACAATATGCATTGTGCCTTCGCATCCTTTATAAGCATTCTTTACAACATCCTTCTGACTGGGATAGAGACTCAGATCTACATTTTTCCTCTGCTGTGTCTGATGAACGGTGCTCATACCTTGAAACTCTGAGGTGCTACTGGACTTGAATCGAACTGCTTTTATTGAGAGGTTCTATCTTTTAAAGCTGTTTTAATGGTCATTTTCTAGCTTGAGAACTGTTCTATTAATATTTGTATATTCTTTGGAGTTTATCGTATTGTTCTAACTTGTGTTCTGTTTTAGGTAGGTCTCTGGAGAGGTGGCATGTAAATTCCATAAAATAGTAAAGCAGAACAGTAGTGTAGTATCCAATTACATGTGGAGGCATCCTTGGAGAGCCAGTTTGGTGTAGTGGTTAAGTGTGTGGACTCTAATCTGGGAGAACCGGGTTTGATTCCCCACTCCACTTGCACCTGCTGATGTGACCTTGGGTCAGTCGCAAGCTCTGGCACAGCTGTCCTTGAAAAAGAGCAGTTTGTGTCAGAGTTCTCTCAGGGTGTCTGTTGTGGGGAGGGGAAGGGAAAGGAGTTTGTAAGCCGCTCTGAGACTCCAAGTGAAGGGCGGGGTATAAATCCAATCTCTTCTTCTTCTTCTTCTTCTTCTTGGTTAATGAAGAGCAATGGGCCACAGCCTCTCCTGTAATCCAGGGATCCTCAGCATGGAGCCTTACCACAGGATTGCTGTCACAGGTGGAGAGGGGCTCGGCCTAAAATGGCAGCCACAAAGGGTCACAAAACATGGGAAGATTCTAAGCCAAGCGTCCTCCCACAACAGGGCAGCTGCTTCCAAACAGGTGCTCCTTGCAGACACAAAGGTGTGAGGCCTCTTGGGCTCTTCTGGAAACATCTCCTTCAAAGGAGGTGGAGGAAAGCCAGGATTAGCTTTTTGTGTTGGGGGGGAGGGGTGCTTCTTGGTTTAATCATGTGGCCCTGCTGAAGGTGCATAGAAGTTATGTGCATGCTCAAGATGCGTTCAGTCTCTTGCTAGTCTGCCTCTTAGTAACAAGCATATCTTGGTTTTTTTGCCTTTCCATTCAAGATCCTTTAGATTTTATCCACCAGAGTCAAGAAGGAAGGGAGTGCTCAGAAATAGGTCAGTGTGATGCTCTGGATTGTCATGCTAAGGATCAGTTTATCATATCACAGTAGTATGGACAACCCGGTTTTCCTTGACAGTAAATCTGATTTCTCCAAGTCTATCACCTCTCTGCATATCACACCTAATCCAATCACACGTTCTATTGTCATTTGCCTGCTAATGTCATTTGGCATCTGAAACCACTCCACTTTCCAATATATGGGACAGATGGACTGACATTCTAGCTGTATCTGAAGAAGTGAGCAGTGACTCACAAAAGCTCATACCCTACCACACATTTTGTTAGTCTTTAAGGTGCTTCATTAAGTCAAGCTGGGCATCCAAAAAACCTTTCAGTTCTTATAGCATAGACTCTATCAATGTTCCCTCTAAGCTGTGGAGTCTTGTGAGCAAGAATTCTACTTTGTGAGCTACTGGCATTAAAGTTGTGAGCGAGCAATTTGGCTGCTGCATAAATTAGTTTGCTCTGGAGCCATCCTTCCTGAGCTAAGATAAAAATGTGTGAGCCGGAGGCTAAAAAACTATGAGCCAGCTCACACTAACTCAGCTTAGAGGGAACACTGGACTCTATCAACTTCTCTCCTCTTTCTGATAGATCAAGATGGGTAGCAGAAAAGAGTAAGAGTCCAGTAGCACCTTAAAGACTAGCATTGTTAATGAGACAGGAAACCTACGTCTCGATTCAGTCCAGGTGGATGCATTGTCTTGAGCTTCCTTATCAGTTGCAATTCAGCAGTCTGTCTTTCTAATCTCCCTCTGAAATTCCTTTGTAATATAACTGCTACTTTTAGGTCAGCAACTGAATGTCCTGGAAGGTTAAAATGTTCCCTCACTGGCTTTTGAATGTTGTGTTTTCTGATGTCAGGCTTATGTCAATTAATTCTTCGTCGAAGGAACTGGCCTGTTTGTCCAGTGTAGAGAGTGGAAGGGCATTGCTGACATGTGATGGCATAAATCACATTAGAGGATGACCAGGAGTAGGAACCTGAGATGGTATGGCTGATGTTGCTGGGTCCAGTGATGGTGTTGCTAGAATCTATATGAAAGCACAGTTGGCATCTCGGTTTGTTGCAGGCCTTGGTACCAGAGTCCATGTTACAGTTAAGTAGTTTATCATTGCGGGTGAGAAGTTGTTTTAGGTTAGCAGGCTGCCTGTAAGCAAGAAAAGTAAAGAAAAGCAACTTTTCTGTCACAGAAAACAGGAAGTTGGGGTCACATTTGAGTGCTGAAAGGGCTGGTTATGCTGGGGATCAGAGGACCTTCATGGACAGAAGCTGTGTGGGACAAGGGCTGTGTAGGAAGGAGTAGAAAAGCTGGCTGGATCCAACCCTGGATCTCTCCTTTGTTTCGTGGGATGCGGAAGGCCTTGTGAGGCTCATCTAAATGAATATAAACTTTGACACTCTTGTTAACTGTCTTCCCTCAGCCCAAGATCTCATGTTCATTTTCTTTTTCATCACTATTTATTAGCAGCTTTTTGTCAGGCTCCTTAGTCAGGTCACACCACACAGGGCTTCATAAGAAGATTACTGTTTATTAGTGGTTCCAGTGCAAAAAAACACGTGTACAGATTGTGTCAGGAATGGCCGTCAGTACTAGGGCCTCTGACTTATAGTGAAACCAAACATTCCCCCTGTAAGCATAAGCTAATGGATATAGTTCGCACACACGGCAAAGCAAGCAGGCATAGCAGAGAAGCTGTTAACTTTCCCAGCCATGTAAGCTGCAGCTGAAAACATCTACAAGGTCAAGCGTAAGATAGCACACAGTAGCTGAGCAGGAGAGAGCTGAGAACGAGAAGGAGGATACCCCTCCACATTCCAGATCTATGACGGGGCTATCTGACATCCTGCCCCTCCCAACGACCCCCCCCCCAGGTTTCTCTGGAAAGTGCTGGTGGAAGCGTTTAAGAAGGCACGGGGCAGAAACATGCTCCTCTGCCACCCATTCTCGGTATTGCGGGCCAAAGTCCACCCATTCAAATAGTACAGTTTGTTGTGCTTCGGCTTAGAGTCCAGAATATCGGCAACTTCGTAGTGCGAAGTTCTCTAGAAAGGACCTGTAGAAATTGGTGAACCCGAGGAAGGCTTGGAGTTGCCTCTGGGTTTGAGGAGGTTCCCACCCCACCACATCCCGAACCTTGGCCGGATCCATCTCCAGACCCCTGGATGAAATGTGGTATCCAAGAAAGTCTATCTCAGTACAGTGAAAATATCATTTTGACAACTTGGCAAACAGTTTGTGCTTGTGCAACGTGCGCAGGACCTCTCTCATCAACTTGATGTGAGAAGGTTTATCGGGGGAGTAAACCAATGTATCATCAAGGTAAACAATAACCCCTTTAAACAGGTGCTTGTGTAACACTTCATTGATAAGGTTCATGAAGACCTCAGGGGCCCCTTGGAGTCCGAACGGCATTACTCGATACTCAAACTGCCCCAGCAGAGTGTTAAACGCCATCTTATAATCCCCTTCTTTTATGCGGACCCGGAAATAAGCGTCCTGGAGGTCGAGCTTTGAAAAGATTTTCCCCTTAGTGTCAGCTATGCTGCCATAAAAGTTGGGGAGGTTGGTCTGTGTCTGGTTAATTGCTATTGCTTTCCTTTCAGGTTAATTGCTATTGCATTCCTTTCTGTGCTTTTTCTGCTGTGAGCCAAAACGCAACCTTGTAGTCACTCTGGCTGTCGCCCCTCCAAAGGGTTCCAACAGAAGGTCTGTCCCGTCCGTCCCTGCATCCCGCGGGGCAGACTCCGCAACCTTGGTCTCAGCATTCGTCTCCTCGAGAGGAAGCTGGGTCCCCTCCTTGGTCGGAGTCAGGATAGTGGTCTCCTCTCCTTCGCTCATCTCGGCTTGAGAGATGCGGGTTGAGTGATAAAGGGATTCCTGACACTTTGTCAGGCTCCTTAGTCAGGTCACACCACATAGGGCTTCATAAGAAGATAACTGTTTATTAGTGGTTCCAGTACAAAAGAACACGTGTACAGATTGTATCAGGAATGGCCGTCAGTACTAGGGCCTCTGACTTATAGTGAAATCAAACATTCCCCCTGTAAGCATAAGCCAATGGATATAGTTCGCGCGCGTGGCAAAGCAAGCGGGCATAGCAGAGAAGCTGTTAACTTTCTCAGCTGTGTAAGCTGCAGCTGAAAACATCTACAAGGTCAAGCATAACATAGCACACAGTAGCTGAGCAGAAGAGAGCTGAGAACGAGAAGGAGGATACCCCTCCACATTCCAGATCTATGACAGGGCTATCTGACACTTTTGTGGAGAATAGTAATAACCATAACAGTAGTAACACATAAAGGCCCAAGTACGATGTGGGTAAAGAACATCAATAAAACAAATTCACAGTCCAGTGCCACCTTATTTTTCTAAATTTGTTCTACTGCTTCAGACCATGGCTGACTACCTGGATCTATTTTCATGAATAAAACAATAAGGAAGGAAGAATAATAATAACAGTTACTAGTGGTGTTCCAAAATAGGCATACTTAGATTAGTAAAGGTAAAGGTTCCCTCGCATGAAAGCCAGTCAAATCCGACTCTAGGGTTGCGGTGCTCATCTCCGTTTCAAAGCTGAAGAGCCAGCGCTGTCCGAAGATGTTTCCGTGGTCATGTGGCCGGCATGACTAAACACCAAGGCGCACGGAACGCTGTTACCTTTCCACCGAAGTGGTACCTATTTATCTACTTGCAATTTCTTGCTTTCGAACTGCTAGGTTGGCAGGAGCTGGAACTAGAGATGGGAGCTCATTCCGTCATGCAGCAGACTCGGGTCTCGAACTGTTGAACTACTGACCCTTCCACAGCCTGCAGTTCAGCGTCTTAACCACTTGAGCCACCGCTGTTATCATGTAGTCAAAGCCACAGTTTGACTACATGATAATAATCCAGGGTGGAGCTGCCTATTGGGGGCCTTTTGTGAATTTGCTGCTTGGGTTTTCTAATAATTTTTTTTTTAAGGGTAGCAGTCTATTGGTAAGATTAGTTGTGTATGATGGATTGTTGGTGATTTCGAGCTGGGTGGAGATTTTTGTCCAAGATCAAGAGATCCCAGATCTTGAGGTACTGTTTTTTAATCAATGGTATTTTTCTCATTTTCCTAAAAGCTACAATTAGGAATATAGCATCAGCTTCTCTTGTTTATTTCCAAAGGCTACAACCCCATTACTCATTTCAGAACTTTCTTTTCTGTCTTAGGTCCTACATCGGCACAAAGATGCTGACACCTTGGTAGCCTTAATGGAGGTTTATGAGGAGGAAGATGAAGCATATTGGGAGCTGGTTACCGTGGCGACCAAATTCTATCAATATTTGTTGCAGCCATTCAGAGACATGCGAGAACTGGCAACGTTATACAAATTGGAGATCCTAGTAGGTTTGGCTTTCTGACTTCTCACAATCCCGTTTAAAAACAATTAGGAATGGGCATGAACCACATTTTTGTATTCGGTTTGTGGTTTGTGGCTGAACCATGAATCGATATGTTGGTTTGTGAACTGAACCAGTTCGTATCGGTTCATGATTTCTGCTTGCTGCCGCTCCAAGCAGTTTAACATCTGCTTTCTGTTCTCCTCCAAGCCATTTAACCCCCTGTTTTCTGCTTCCTGCCAGGCCATTTCTGCTCCCCTCCAAGCCATTTAACCCCCTGCTTTCTGCTCCGTGCTTGGAGCCATTTAAACCCCTGCTAACTGCTCTTATTGAACCACCACAAACTGCCTTAAAATGCGTGTTTGGGCTGAGATGTAAAAGAGATCTCTTTGCAGAAATCCTTACAAGCGGATAGGCTGGGCCCGAAAAGGAGAGAAGCCTTGCAGGTGGAGGCAGAGGAGTGGACCATGCAGGTGGAAGAAGCCATGTGCTCCATCCAAGACATCACTGTCAGCTACTTCAAGGAAACGGTGATGGCACTGGCGGGTAAGTTGCAGTGGAGGACAGGAAGGCCACAGGTGGCCTTCTTGTGGAGCCACAGACTTCAGGCATTGCCGTGGGTGGCCGAGTGGGAATTGGACGTATCCTTTAGGACAGTGATGGCGAACCTTTTAGAGACCAAGTGCCCAAACTGCAACCCAAAACCCACTTATGTATCGCAAAGTGCCAACACGGCAATTTAACCTGAATACTGAGGTTTTAGTTTAGAAAAAACAACTCATACATTAACGTCTTTTGTCTTAAAAGAAAAACACAATAACAGAGCTTTCAATGATACAAACACTATCTGTTTTTGCTTTTTTTGCTATACTCATTTCAAGACTTGGAGTCTACAAAAACACACAATTAAAAAAAAAATGAAGCACCCAATACAAATCTATCCCTATACCAAAAATATAGCTAACAACAAAGAAACGGATATTCCCTGAATCAACAGCTCTTGGCCTGCTCTGAGAAAGGCATCTGAGTGCATTTCCTACCTTTGATTCACCTTTGCTCTACATGCGTTGGACCTACTTCTTGGGGAATTTGCATAAATAAGATGAAGTGGAGGTGGAACGCACATTTCCCATACACAGGAGGCGTGCAGACCTTGATCATCCATACAAGCTCTCATTTTCTCATTAGCAGGAGCCCAGGTTGGTTCCTATGGACAGCAGCCAATACAAAGTTCCCCCTGACAACCCCAGATCACTGCTACTCACAAGGAATATTCCTTATCTTCCAACCCTAAAAGAGGGCATTTTCATCTGTGTTTTAAGAGCTCGAAAGAGGAGAGCCACCTCCACACCATGCACCATTACGGAGAAAGCCCTGGCCCTATTCTCATAAGAACATAAGATCAGGCCAGTGTCAGCTATGCTGCCATGGGGGTTGGGGAGCTCGGTCTGTGTCTGGTTAATTGCTACTGCATTCCTTTCTGTGCTTTTTCTGCTTTGCGCCAAAATGCTTATCTATACAGATGTGCAGGAGGGAGTTGTATTGTCTGGGTTTCTCCTAGGTGCCGTGGGAGAGTGTTGGTTCTCAGCTTTAGCTACCTAATGGTCTCCAAGCTTTATCCCGTGCGAGGGAGGGTGCCTAATTGGCCAGTGCCATGAGGGTGTGTGTGTGCATACGAATACACTATATCCTATTATGCCCATGGGGCCGCAGCCATTCTTAACAGTGCTTATGGTACTGCGTCTATAGCTCTGCAATAAAAGTATTACCGTTCCTGAATGTGTGTACTTCGTTGTTGGCTGTGGGTTCTGACAGCCAGTGGCCCATCCAGTCCAACACTCTGTCACACAGTGGCCAAAACCCAGGGGCCACCAGGAGGTCCACCAGCGGGGCCAGGACTCCAGAAGCCCTCCCACTGTTTCTCCCCCAAACACCAAGAAGACAAAACATCACATAAGAACATCAGAGGAGCCATGTTGGATCAGGCCAGTGGCCCATTCAGTCCAATACTCTGTGCCACACAGTGGCCAAAACCCAGAGGCCACCAGCAGGGCCAGGACTCCAGAAGCCCTCCCACTGCACCAAGAAGACATCAGAGAAGCCCGCAGAACATCAGAGAAGCCTGCAGTAAGGAGGGCAACAACACAGAAAAGCCTGTAGGTGTCCTGTCATTCCAGTGTCCCACAGCACAGATTCTATTGCTAGGGATCATCATTCCACTCTGGGGACTGTCATTCCAGTAGCAGATGTGTTCTGAGGGTGGAATGACAGGCCCCAGAGTGGAATGACAGCCCCTGGGGGTAGCAGATGTTTTGGGAGTGGATTGCCAGGCCCCAGAATGGAATGACAGCTTCTGGGAGTAGTGTCAGTGCTCTGCACCTAGAATCACAAACTATAGAGTGGAATAAATACTTTACATTTAGTTAATATTTCTGGAAGGTGTGTTACTATCGCCAAATCAGTTCCACCGCAGTAATTATCCTGCCTGTCAGCTTCTCAGTTTCTGTACACATTCATGAGGTTGATATGAGGCACCTCCTCTGTTGTCAATTATAAATCTTACTCTAGTCTTCTTCCAGTTCCAGTGTCCAGTTCCGCTGCCTTCTTGACCTCAAGGTTCACATTATGTGTCACACTCTGCCTGAGTTCCTTGCACACTTTTGCCCACTCTGTTGACCACTGACTGCTCTGCCTTCTGCAACGGTCTTCCTGTGTCTGCACCCACCACACTGTGTCAAGAATTACAAAGGTGCTGCAGGCTGAAAAAGGTTGGAGAACCCTCAGTTAGAGTATGGGTTGGGATTTTTCAAAGAGACTATGGAAGGGATGTAAGAGAACTGAAGAGATGACATGGAGGACAATTACTGAGGTGGAGCTGAGTTGTAATAGCTAAACACCTTAAAGAAATGTTAATAAAAATGTAAAAAGTTTAATTCCACGCTACATTTTGCAATTCCAGTTGCAGAGCATTGAGTATTCCACCAGGGGCTATCATTCCACTGTGAGGCCTGTCATTCCAGTCCCAGAGTAATGTATTTGAGACCAGAGAGCTTAATGGAAAATCCATTCCACATTTGCTTTGCAACTCTTCTTGAGCTGTAATGTATTTCAATGGAGCCTATGCAAGTCAGTTGGCATTCCTAGATCTCATTATTTCCAATGAGCCTTCAAGACTCTCCCAGTGTTTCCAATGGGCAATCCTGTCCTTCCTTTTAGTTCATTCTTTTTGTCTGTGGAGGAACCCCACTTGAGTAGCTTGGAGCATCTGCCATACATGCAGATCTGCCCTCAGAGAGACCTTTTACCTAAATAAGTCTTGGTCTTAAAGGTGCCACTGGACTCTTTCCATTGCTACCTGGGGAGGGTGTGTGTGAAACACGCAGATCTGCCCTCAGAGAGACCTTTTACCTAAATAAGCCTTGGAGCGAATTCCCACAGGCTGCTGCTTTGCGCTCCCTCTTCCCTTTGCCCCAAGCGTGTCAATTTCACACCATGTGCTGCGCGGCCGCATTTTGCCCCGCAGCTTCGCCCGATTTTCCCAGTGTCTACTCAATCCTGTTTTTTGAGGATTGAGTAGACGTGGGGGGAATCGGGCGAAAATGTTCAGGGTTAAAGAGCGGTAGTAGAGGATCTGCTGTGCATGCAGAAGTCCCCAGGTTCAACCCCAGCTAAAAGGATTGAGTAGCAGGTGATGTGAAAGGGACTCTACTGGATACACCCTGGAGAGCCACTGCCAATCAGAGGAGACCAATGGTCTGATTTGATAGAAAGCTGTTTGATGGCCCTGGTCACACGGGAGGCTTTGATCCGTGAGAGGGACAGATCGGGGGCGCATTAAGCAGGAGTGATCACACTGCAACATCTGGGAAGCGGTGCGCACCCATCCCCGATCCGTCTCTTCTGGCCAAAGATGTGGATCAAAAAACCCCCTACAAAACACTACTACTTACCAGAAAATCCGCAGCAGGGGCGGCCGTGGGATCGCCAGCGCGCCTGTCTCCGGCAGCATGGGAGGCCCCCGGCCAAACTGTGCAGGCGCACACATGCGCAGTGGGATCGCCTCGCTCACCCATCATGCCGGGGAGCAACTGCGCGGTGGCTCGGGGGATCTGTCTGATCCTGCCGCTGCGCTTCTTTTTTGATGTGGCTCAAAAAAGCCGCACTTCAGCCGCACCTTTTCCCCCAGTGTGACCGGGGCCAATGTGTCCATATTTGTGAGAGTTTTTTTTCTCTTTGCTTTGTGAATGCTAACCAAATACCACTCAGCTTTTAATAGGTTCCTGTCTTGACAAGGCTCAGGAGTGCTCTTTAACACAGAATTTATTCCTCCCCCCCCCTTTTTGCTTCCTTCTGATTGGGCAGCAATGAAGAAACAGATGGAGCAAGACCGCCAGCGGTTTGGCCAAGCCGCCTGGGCATCAGCTTCTCCGAGACTAGAAAACCTCAAGTACCTTTTAGCCAAAGAGACCCTTCAGCACATGAGAGCGAGAGAACTGTGCCTCAACCACAAGAGAGCTGACATCCGGAAGCAAGTAAGAGCTCAGCAAATTGCCACCACGTCTGCCCCCCCCTCCCTTTTGCCTTTGCTCTCGCTGTGAATTGATATCCAAATCCCTGCAGTCAAAAAAGAATGCTGTTACAAGGAGTGAGAAAGGTGTTAAATCCTGAGGCTTCCTTGGTTGGGGGTACGCAAGCCCAAATGCTGTGTTGGATTGGAACATAACTGCAGAGAGGCCTGTTGTGTTCAGCTGATTGGCTCGTATGACACTGTTCTGCCAGGAGAGAAAAAAGACGTTTCTCCATCAGAAAAGGAAGAAAGCCGTTCTCCCTCAAAGGAAAACTTAGGAAAGGAAAGTCATAGGATCCAACCCAATATGATTTGCTCTCCAAGAATCAAGCGGTAAAATAAAGTTGGGGGTTTTTTAGGTGTTATCTCTTTTTTTTAACCGGCAGTACAGCAGTAGCAGAACAGAATGCAGAAACTAGAAAGGTCTTGGTATAGACCAGGCAAAATCACTCATTTAGCAGAGAGTGAGTGACACTGAAAGACAATTGGATATTCTCAGTTCTCCTGGCTATTTCTCTCCATTAAATATCAGATAAATAGTCACTCCTGCAGCCTATTTATATTTTCTTGAATCCAATAACTCAAGAAGGGCATTCACGTTAGCCAGAAGCATGTCCTTGCCGTCTGCACTATTGGAAGGGAGGTTTAAAGGGACCATTTACTCACTGAGGTTCTGCTCCTGCCCCCTCCATGAAATAGACTCTCTAGAACACATATTTTTCAACTGTGTATACCATAGGGTGATCCATATGGAGACTATTAGTCCGCTGTTCGAAAGGTTTCCTGGCAGATCAAATAAAATTAAACTTGATTATCTCCTATCTGACAGGAACCATCAGACAACAAGACAGGTGGCTAGATTTTGTGCCCAGGTTTACAAGGAATGTAAAATGCATGGCAGTTAGGTTTTCTAATCTTTTATCTAAATTATACACAAATTTTATGGCTCATCTCTATGTTATAGTCACAGATTTGTAAATTTAAGTATGCCACTGTTGGTTTTATCTCTCATTTCTTATTCAAATGTTTTTTTATGTAAAATGATTGAGTGTGCTGGTTGTTGACTGTAACAATAAATTTGATTGAACTAGAAAGGTCCCAGGTTCAAGCCCGACAGCTGTTAGGATCAAAAGAATTTCTTTTGGACATGCAGATTTGAGGTTGTGAGGAGATGAGGTTCCATTGGTTTGGGGCAGCCTTGGCGGTGGGTGGGGCTTTGTCTAACCACAGCAGCCTCGCTTCCTGTTAAACCTCCATCTTTCCTCTTAGACTTATAGCAGGGATGACCTTGGTCTGTATTCCAAGTCAGCCACAACGCTTACTGGATAACCCTGGGCCAGTCATTATTTCTTAGCCTAACCTACCTCAAAGGGTTGATGAGAGGATAAAATACCCCGAGGACTTCTAAGAGGAATGGTGGGATAAAAAGGTAGTAAAACTTGAGCTTGTCCTGACCTGGACAGTCCAGGCTAACCTGACCCTGTCAGATCTCAGAAGCTAAGTAGAATCAGCCCCAGCTAGTCTTTGGATGGGAAACCCCCATGGAATACCAAGGCTGCGACATGGAGGCAGGCAAGGGCAAAACCGCCTCTGGATGTCTTGTGCCTCAAAAACCCCACAAGGGGGTGCCATAAGTCCACTGTGACTTGGCAGCAACTCCCCCCCCCAGCTCAACAGGCCAGAATTGGCCTTTTCCACATAGCATTTGTGATCTTAATGGTTTTCCCTTCCATGTTTTTGCAAACGTACAGATGGAGGCCTTTGAAGATCAAGAAAATGACCTGGCTCGACTAGAACAGCTGGAAATAGAATATTACGAAACCCAGCTGGAGCTGTACGAAGTAGAGTTTGAGATCCTGAAGAATGAAGAAATGCTGCTTGTCACACAGTTGGAAACGTTGAGGCGACGGATGAAAGGTAAGGCGGAGGGCCAGTTTCCACAGTCTCGTGGCGGTGGTGGCAACGCTGCAGACAACTGCCAAGGACTGGGAATGTGTTTTCCTCTGCAAAACTGGGAATGTGTTTTGCCCCTGTGGGTGGGCTTCCTTTCACAGGTGGGGCTGCCACCTTCTGGCATAGCTGGGAATTTGCAAACAAAATGCAATGAGAGACAGAGAGCTGCATTTGTGTCTGTGGTGCAGGACACACAAGGATTGCTGGGTAGGCTCCAATGCAGAGTCCAAAGGCACCGGACCCAGTCAGGTGAGTGGTGGGTGCCATTCAACAGAGGGCTGGCTGCTTGAAGCTACTTTTGGGGGGGTTGAAGCCCATCTTGCTATGCCCAGCCAGCTTAGGCCTGAAACAGACGTCCTGCCATCAGCTGCCTCTTTATAGCCCTCGTGCAGATTCCCACAGTAAAGTGCTTCTTCAGTCAACAAGTAATTAACTTGTGGGATTTACTGGCAGTAGACATATTGACGGCCGGGAGCATAGAAGGCTCGGAAGAGGGGGCTGAGCAGATTCATCACTGGCTACTAATGGGAACCTCCATGTTCAGTGACAGTCAGCCTCTGAACACAAGTGCAAGGATGCATAAGAACATAAGAACATAAGAGTTCTGAACACAAGTGCAAGCATGGAACAGCAGGGGTTTGTGTGCCTGTTTGTTGGCCGTTCAAGGGCAACTTTTTCACCCATTTCATGGAACCAGGTGTTGGGTGAGATGGATCAGTGGTCTGATCCAGCAGGGATCCTTGTTCAAGTACTTGTCCCAAAGTCACACTGCGAGCTTCATAGCTGTGTGATAATTTGTATGTGGACCTCCCCAGTCTTAGTCTAATGCTCTAGCCATTAGTTCTATTGTATTGAGGGAACAATGGAATAACATTTGTAGGATTGTGCTTATGGAGACTCCCTAGTTCCTTTTGCTTGAGAGTGAAAGAATGGGCAAAATTTTTCCCCCATACCTTTGTTACAATTTCACAAGGCCTGGAGCTTGGATTATTGTATGGCAGGCCAATCCTAGCTGGCCATATATTAATTCAGAAGCATCCAATGCGAGCTAATTCTTGATTATGGAAAAGCGCAGAATCGTGAATTGAGCCAAAATTTTTCTGGGACATATGTTGTAACCAATCAGCAAACATTTGGAAAATCTTTTCTTTCCTGGTCTCCTTTCAATTATATGAAAATTTATAGTTGTGTAGACCAGTGCTGGGTCTACAAATGTGCCTGAAGCTGCCCAAATTGTGAACTTTTTGTGAGTATTTGTGTGTGTGTGTGTGTGTGTGTGCTTGTGAGCCTGGAAATTATGGTAACTTCTGGTGACCCCTAGTGGAGCTAGGCCTAGGACATTTCAGAGAGGTTGCTTGATAACCTGCCTCTGCATCCCGGCCCTGGTATTCCTTGGAGGTCATCCTTCCAAGTCCTTGCCAGGGTCAGTCGTGCTTCGCATCCGAGATCTGATGAGATTGGGCTTGCCTGGGCTCTCCAGGTCAGGGCTCCAAACTGTGAATTTGAGCCACTTCAGAGCCCACACCATCTATAGGTAGTCCCCCTGCAGAGAACAAAACAGATGACAGCAAACAGAAGTATACGCCTGACCGGGTCCCAATCCAAAGAAAAGCACTGCTGCTGCTGGTGCCAGATATATAGCACATGGTTCATCTGTGTCTTTGTAGGCCTGCGTCTCCAGCGTCACCCTTTTCCTTCTTTTTTTGCTCTTACACACTTGTTTGGTTTGCATGTCTGGCCTTGTAGGTGTCAACCCCCACCCTCCCAGCATTTCCACACAAGATACAACTCTAGACTCCTTTGAGAACAGGGTGCTTCTGCTGTATCAGAGCTAAATCATGATACCCAGAGCAGGCTGACTGGAAGAAGGCAAGTTGTACTGTAGTCAGGCAGAGAGACTGTAGGCACCCTCCTCTGGGGCGTCAGTATTTTCAGCTCACAGAAGCCTTGTCAGCCTCCTTACCAGCTTGCTGAGAACTGTGGTGGTGGCTGTAAAGGAGTTTTTAAATTTTTCTCTGCCTTTCTCCCTGCTGAATGTAACCTTCTTAGAAATTCAGGATGAAGTGATTTATTATGATACATGTGAAAACCCTGATGAGCTGCAAGCCTCTGAACAAGCCCTGGAAGAAACGCACGTGCCTTCCTCCGAAATGGCGCAACTGCGGCAGAAGACCAAGCAGCTGGAGACAAAACGTGGGGTTATCTGTTCAAGGAGAGCCTATCTCAGGAACAAAAAGGTAATACGGTCTACAATATTTAGGTGTGTTCTGGGTGCAGAATCTGGAGAGAGAGACTTGTTTTTTTCTGGTTGTTTTTTTTTTTAATATGCCAGGCTTCTAGTCTGTGAGGCCATGTAGGTGGTCGATAACTGGGTTGCACTTACCTGTAGCTGTTGTTCATCAAGTGGTCTTCTGTGCAGGCACACAGAATCCTCTGGAATGATCATAAAAAGCTGCCTTATCCCAAGTCAAACAATTGGCCCATCTAGCTATCTACTCCGGCTGGCGGTGCCTGCAGGCAGTTCTTTCCCAGTGCCTGCTGCCTGAGAGCCTCTTAACTGGAGACCCCAGTGGTCTGATCCTGGGATCTTCTGTGGGCAAAGCATGAACTCTGGCCCTGGCCAGTTTCCGTCCCTTTTGCATGGGAGTTCCTTGCCATGGACCTACAAGTTGGTATGGAAAGGATTCTTTGAAAGTAAAATATTGGAGAATGTTTCCCATAAACATGTTTGTTTCTAATGAATTAAAAGGGTCATAGCATCAAAATTGCAGGAGGTCATAGCCCCTCTGTATAATACCTTGGTCAGGCCGTGCCTGGAGTACTGTGTGCAGTTCTGGAGGCCTCCCTTCAAAAAGGATGTGAACAAAATCAAGAGGGTGCAGAAGAGAGTGATAAGGATGATCAGAGCCCTACGAGGAAAGGCTAAGGGCCTTGGGAATGTTTAGTTTGGAGAAGAGGAGATTGAGGGGGGGACATGATTGCTCTCTTTAAATATTTGAAAGGCTGTCATTTGGAGGAGGGCAAGGAGCTGTTCCAGTTGGCCGCAGAAGATAGGACCCGAAGCAACGGGTTTAAATTACATGCAGAAAGGTATCGGCTGGATATTAGGAAAAACTTTTTCATGGTCAGAGTGGTTCAAAGGTGGAATCAGCTGCCTAAGGAAGTGGTTAGCTCCCGCTCACTGGCAGCTTTCAAGAAGAGGCTGGACGAATGTTTGTCAGAGCTGCTTTAGGCTGGTCCTGCATTGGGCAGGGGGTTGGACTAGATGGTCTGTATGGCCCCTTCCAACTCTGTGATTCTACGATTCATGTCTTTTCCCCTTCTCCAAACCCGAATGACAACCTTTTTTCTAAAAAAAAGACAATGCTCCAGGAATGGAGGCCATGCTCTAAAGGCAACTGACCAGGATTGCTTTTTATTTCCGTCAGGACCAGTGTGAAGAAAGCCACCATCTGAGGCTCCAGCAGGCACAAGAGAGTGCTCGGCATTTCCAGCAGCATCACAGCATCCAGATTGTGCGTACTGAGAAGGGGCCAGGGAGACAATTTTTTGTTTGGGGATATAACTTATTTGTTTAAAGTATTGATCATTTGCCTTTCTGCAATGCCCAAGGCAGCTTACAAAATATAAATATACGTGACACATTTTAATGTGTGTATACAGACATGGGCATTATACAGGCCAGGGCAGAGTATACACCTGGATTCCAGGTGAGCACCGGGAAGAGATGTGTTTGAGAATATTGGCTCTTTTTCCCTTTTGGCTGCAAAGCAATGGGGGGGGGGGTGATTAAGATTCCATTGAGTGGTGGCATGATTCTTGTTTCCTGCATAGCTGTTGGGCTTTCTCTCTGCACAGAGCAAAACCAGAAATAAGTGTAAGCTGAAGTCTTTTTGGACCCTAGAAACTAACACTTGAATTCTACGATGAGTGGGGTGAAGCTGATGCTATGGTAAACGTGCTCATCTTTAAGGTGCCGCTGAAAGCTAAGAAGGCTGCCCCACAGTAGCAGTGCCCAGTTGAACGGGAAGTACCTCTGCGACATAAGGCATTCATCATCTCCAGCCCCCCCC